TTGTATATACAATGTCATTGCCTTACTTTTTTGCATTGTATCTATTAAAGTTATTTATGTTTTACACCTCTTTAGATTGTTTTTTTTGGCCTGCTGTAAACATGCATGTCAAAGGTCAAGGTTCAAGGTTCAATTTTATTGACATTCTCTCCATATGGATCTCAGTATGCAGTTCAAGTAGTGTTAGGGGGGTCTGAAGTGGTTGCAGCATCTGTGCGTGCTGCTCAGATTCTGACAAATATGCACATAGATAGACACACAGCATAGATATGTGTTTACATGGAAGATAATCAGTTCTTCTTGCCACATCAAGGAGCATTACAAAAAAATATCACCTGGAATATAGATGACCCTTTTTTGTTAAAAAGAGACTTGTTTTACAATTAAATATTAAACCATTAAGTATATGCAGCTACAGTATCACAGCATGCACTGCAGTGGCAAACAGAGGATGCAGCACAAGGTCAACACAGCCATGTGTCATCTCTGGAGCTCCAATGATCTCTGTGGTGTAAAATATCACAATTGATTCCCTCTGACCCTCATGATGACCTCAACACTGTGATCATGTGATCCAGGGCAGAGTGTGTGTATGAGAGCCTATGTGAGTGAGAGAGGCACAGGGAAGAAGAGAGCCTGGGTGTGCACTACATTAGCTTGCATACATAAATAGCTTGTGTCTTGAGGAATGTAGAACAGGAGTGGGCGAAAAAAATCGCTGGAGCTGCAATTTTTTGATGAAGGTAAAATGTGTCACATTGTTGAGCATTGTTAGCACCATCAGTGTTGTGGTGCTACAGAGACGCAGCGGCCTACAAATCAAATTCTCCAGATGGAAAGGAACATGATTGTTTGGTACGAGACCAACAACAATCACCTCATCATCATTTTTATTTCTTTCAGTGAAAATGAAATGAAAAAAATATCATTCCATTGCATATCATATCATGTAGCCCTAGTTGTGCACATAGATTGTTAATAAAGACAGACATATCCTCTGTGACGTCACCCACAGGTTTCTGAAGAGCGGTTTTGAATCTCAGAATGAGCTGCTCCATTGTCGCCATCTTGGCTGTGCCAGCTAATCCAAAAATGGAGGAGGAGGAGGGGCGTGTGTTGAGACTTTGGTTCATGCTGGTTTATGTCAAGGATACGCTCACCCACCTGTCACTCAAAGAGGGTATGCCCTCAATTATGCAGAACTTTAAGCATTGATAAAATTGAAATAGATGGATTATATAAAAATTCATTCCTGTGCACAATTGTCATGAAGGAGGAAATTAGCTAAAGATTACCAAAAATATTTTTTGTTCCAGGCTGTAAACATATTTTTTTCTGTTGTAAAGTTGGACATCTTAACATGGGAGTCTATGGGGATTGACTGCAGTTTTTGGTACTTCCGTGTTGGGGACATTTTTATCCTTGGAGGTTGCCGCTTGGGTCCAGCCACGGATGTATTATAAGTCTTATAATACCAGAGACAGTAGAGAAACCGAGATGCTTCATTTCCGTTTATTTCCTGTATCTGTGTCACGTGGGTTTCTTCACCTCCCCGCCCATTTAGGAGACCAGCAGCAGGTCTGAGTGTATTCCAATGGGCGAAGTGAACGAGATCATAGATTATCACAGATTCTTTCGCTCCATACTGAAATAAATATTGGACCCAGTTTTCACAAGCCACACGTCTTCAGGACATTCTGACATCAAAGTGTTATTTTTGGATTGACTTATTTATACGTCAAACCATGGATTAAACTTTAAAACTTAAATAAAACTTGTTTCATTGCTTAACAATTGCTAATACAGATTATTAGCCTATTAAATTGACATGATTTTGTACTGGGCTGATCAGATGTTAGTAGATAAAAAACAGTGGCAAAGAGGCTCTAATTTGCACTGTATCCGTGTTGTATCGTCTATTGTTGCATTCTTCTGGCAGGGACAAGTAATCCATCAGTTAGTATTAAAAATGCCCGAGCTTTGTGCAGCAACAGGCTCTAATAACAAGAAAAACGGATCTATATTTTCTTTACGTAAGAATGCAGAGAGGTAAGTCTAGACAGGGATAGATTTTAATACTAGCTAGTGTCACGTTTCATGCCAGTTGCCTTGGCTTGAGGGAGGGGCTGAGGGACAACGCCCACTTAGGACGCCTGAACTGTATACCATTTCATACCACTGGTGCTGCCTGTAATGCGGTATCTTCTATATATTGGATCTTTGATAATACATCCATGGGTCCAACTCACAAATCTCTGCTTCCTGTTTCCGCTTGATTTTATTCTGAAAGTCCGGACCGGAAGTTCTGCTTCGTTTCTAACTGCAGTTTTGATACTTCGTCCGGATGTTTGTTCGCTCGCTTTTCTTCGCCCACGCATTCCTGTTGTCTGTTCACAGATTATGTCATAATTAATCTCACTTTTTGCGCATTTAATGTGGAGTATTCGTTTGGACATCAATGTCATTTATTAATGAGGTGCTAAATGTGAGTTTTTTAATTTTAAAGTTGAGTCGCTGTCTGCCTCGATCCGCTTCGTGTTCGACGCTCTGCACACGGGATCCCTCGGACTGATACTCCACCGTCCTGGGCTGCAGTCAGATGGAGAACCGGTGTATGTGTCTCTACCCCAAAATTCACCGAGCCCGCAGAACAGCACACAAGACTCCCGTCTTTCGGCTGCAGTTAGCGGGCTAGCTGTCCTACAGTTAACAGTGGGCTGGGTAGCAGCGATTCAACTTTTAAAATTAAATATCTAAATAGGGCACATTTTTAATGACGATTCACCTGAAAAGTAGATCATATGCCAAAGTGAGACCGTCCATCCCTAATATGGCCTGGGACAAGTTTGATTTTAAGGATTCTTGAGCGACTGAAACTCCCTGGAGAATTCACATTGGTGCTGAAATCCACCTAAAAATAGACTCAATTACTCACATGAATAAAGTCAGCTTCTCCTTTGGCCCTGAAGTACCACTCGACGGTGGCAGCACCTTCAACCTCACTCCTCCTCTTGCAGGAGATGCAGCCCAGTTTGAAGCCCTTTCCTGCAACTGCCTCGGTATCAGAGTCCACCTCTGCACAGGCCCCATGACACTGGTACACTGTTTACACAAGGAAAAACATACAGACAATTGTTACAGTTTAGATTTTGTCTCAACACGAAGGCTGTAAAAAGTGAGCTGGACTCACCGAACAGAAAGCAGAGCAGGGAGAAGAGCAGCAGATGTGATGCAGCCATGTCACCGGATGTTAGTCTGGCTGTTTTGCTGGACGAGGGTCCTCAAAAATTCCAAAATTTAACACTGATGCTCCCAGTGTCGAGCTCCAAAAAAAAAAAAAAAAAAACTTGACGCTTATGTCACTCACAAACCGAGCACCTCTAAGTTTGTAATAAATGAATGGATATTTGCAAAGTTTTCTTCTTTATTTTTTAAGAAGAATTGAGCTTATATGCAAATTTAAAAAGCTGCTTGTCAGTAAAGTGTAGGCTAATATGTGGATGTGCCTGGTAGCTAGCAGCTAATCATGCATCGTAAAGTGCAGAAATGTATCTTCCCTTTATACACTTAAATGTGTTTACGGATGCACTAACAGCCCCGTGGAACTACACTGTCAGTACTTCAGCTCTTTGGCTCAAGCCAGCATCTGTATCCTGTCGTTACAGGATTTATTGCCAACAAATTATTGCTGCTTATCAGACAGCCGCCCTCCTCCACTTTATCTCTATAATTTGGAGGAATGCATTCAAGTGGTGGGCTTTCTGCTTTTAATTATCTAGTAGCATATGAAACTATCCAGATATCTGGTGACTCACAGTGTTCCCCAGATCAACACCCTGAGATGTGATTATCTTGTTTCCCTGAGGTCCTAATGTGAGATGCGCAGAGCGACCATTAGACCTGCCCGGGGCCACATGCTCTGCTCTGTTATGTTGGCAAATTACACAAATTTATAATATATGTTTGTTTGTATAATGTGCAACATGCCAGCTACTGACTGAACGTCTACAATGTGCTTAACATGCCAATGCATATATAATTAATTTGCATGCTCTATGTTAAGAATCAAATGGCTACCTCTTGCAGGCTACACGCTACCAATATTTAATAAAGACCAGTATAATGATCTAAAAATAATTATTCTTAATCGGATCACTGAAATCGGAGCCTACTGTCCTGAATTAGAGGCCTCTTCTCCTCGTCTCCTCGGGGGGGAAAAATACTGTCCTCTGGTGCGATGACAGCTGAATGTGGAATCACTTCACCTATCTAATGACCCCCTGCTCGTAGAAGAGATGCTTCGGTCGTGTTGGCATTGCAGATAAAATTGCGTGAGCATAAAAGCCACACACACACACACACACGCACACATACACAAGCAAAACCAAAAAATTAAATATCCAATAACCACGTCCTGTGCTCAGTTAGCGGTGTTTTTTTCGACGCCACAGCGGCACCTCTGTCGCTCCGCTCAGAGGATGCTGCAGATGCACTGCGGTAAAAACGGGCTGTGCGTGTATGATTGAGCAGATGCTGTAGGTGACGACTGTTTAAGCTTCAGCCCCGCTCTTTTTAAACTGACACTAGCTCGAGCTTTGTCTGGAAAACTGCCGCAGGGGGGCTCACCTAGCGATTATAGTGCGTTTAATGAGAAAGAAAGGCTTCAGAGTTGTAGTACAGTGCTGATATTAACGGTGTACTGGCCCTTTAAGTGAACTCTCAGTGGGGCGGGCGGGGTGATCCAACGATGGCATCTTTCTGTCAGCAGAAGTTAGTTTGTCATAAAACGCATAAAACTTCTTAAAATCGCCTGTACAGCCGTAAAACCAGCTTATCTAATACTCAACATGCTTCTCCCGTATCTAAAGCCGCTGGTTAATGTAGTCAGTGTGATGGCATTTCTTTATAATTTAAAAAAACGTTCACTCCAAACACCCACTCACGTCGTGCATGAGGATGCCCATGCTGTTTTGTCAACCAGCTAGCATTAGCTACGCCTACGGGCAAGCTGCTGTTAGCCTTTACTAGCTTAATATATCATTTTATACACAAACAAGAGATGGCGCTCTGTATATGGAGTTCACGAATAATAATGTCCTACAAATAGTCAGCGACGTCCCCTGATAAGGTAAAAAAAAATCCCGACGCACCGACATATCAAAGGTAAAGTACTATGCCAATGTTAGCTGCTAGCTAGCTGTGTTCGCTACAAGCTAACGCTGGCGTGTTGTAACATAAACACGCAGTGAACCTAAGAATGTGGAAAGCTATTTTCTAGTTGTATAAACAGACATCGTGTTAATAATGATGACGGTGATGATTTTTTTCAAGATTTAAGTTTACAACGTGCTTCGTAGTTTGGGATTAGCTAACAGCAGCTAGCTAAATGTGGTAGTGATCATCAGGTGGAAGCTGAGTCTTCATGTCACAACACAAATCACGGCAGTTTGAGAATTACATAGTTCGTTATCATTAAATATCTCTACCTACCATGCGTACACTTGTGACACTAACACATCTGACACTAAAGATGAAAATAATTAGGATAACTGACAGAAGAAATCTAAAATAGTACTTAAAAGTTATTGTCAAAAAAAGTTCTGCAACTATTATCGTCATTACAGATTATTCTGTTGAGCAGGTTCTTCATTAAGTTGTAATATTTCTCATGAATAATCAAAAATGCCAATTACAACTTCCAAAAGCCTTAGGTGATGTCTTTAAATTTCTGGTTTACAGAATCATAATCATATATAGATACACACGAACATAGAGTAGAAACAAAGAAATAATTAACCATATCACTATTATGTACAAGACAGTGAGGAATAAATAAATAGACCAATAAGTTAAAAGTTAAAAACATGACATTTTGTCTGAGCAACAGGTCTAAAATCCAAAGATATTAAATTTCTTATTACTTACGACAAAGAAAAGCAACAAATGACAAACTTGAACTGGGGAAAGTTTGCGATTTTTGCTTGATAAATTGCTTAAAGTGTGAACCAATTAACAGAATAGAAGATGATTATTTTTCTGTCCATCAATCAATCAACTTAATTTTTGCAGCTCTAATTTAAGGTAATTGTTTAAGTCACTTTTCATGTAAACATTCCCTTATTTCACCTTCTTTGCTTTTCTTTATCTTAACTGATAAGGAACTACTTACAATCTAGTGTCTACTGGGACAATGCAATCAATTTGATGATATAACCTTCAACATTTTTTTAACAACTAAACTAATAATAAATTTAAAAAGTAATTGTGACTTGCACCCCTTATTGACATCCTTTTTTAAATATATTTCAATAGGAAATTTTTACCACTAATATGTCCTCTATTTTGAGTAAAGGGCTGCACTATCGTTTTTTATTATCATTATTATCTGTCATATATTAGTTAGTTTAATGTTTGGGCTGTAAAATATGAAAAAATAGCACAATAAGATGTCTTAAGATTTTTCGATTTTCTAAATAACAGGTCAAAATTCAAAAAGATTAAATTTACTATCACTACTATATTTTAATAAATTAAATCAGGAATGCTTCATATGTTAGGGGCTGGAGCTAGTTACTTTTAGGATTTTTTTTGCTTGAAAAAGACTTTCGATCAGCCAGTTGATTAGTTGCCTGCATGAATGTAATAAATCTCGAGAAAATATTAATCATATGTAAATGAAGAGACTTTTACCCTTAATTATTATAATCTGTTTTTTGATAAATTCAGAATGTATTATTCCTCACTGAGGATGTTGAATTCAAGAAACAAAGAAAATACAAATAAATGACTTTAGATGAGTCAATATCTCAGTTTATCCTAATTTAAATGTCAGTGCCACTGTTATAATTTTCCCTTTGGTTTAGTTTTGTCTTGGATCTGCCTTCAAAAAGTGAACGTGAAAACCCAGAAAACCATACAAGCCACTATGTTATATAAGATAAAGCATTGAAAAATGCACCATTTATCAATAAGATCTACAGAGTCCATAGACACACAATATGTCACAAATTGTGTTTTATCTTCTCTATAGTTTCGTGTGACTATGGACGCAACCTGCAGTGCTTCTGCGGCTCCGGCCGGTCTGACGGTCCAGGTGTGTTTCCCTGGTGCTCGAGCTGCTGTTCTGGACAATCTCAACCGGCAGCGGGAGGAGGGCCGGCTGTGCGACCTCTCCATCCAGGTGCAAGGTCAAGTGTTCAGGGCCCACCGGTGTGTGCTCGCTGCATCCTCGCCATACTTCCATGACCAGGTAGGTGCGGGTACATTAGCCTGCAATAAATTTGATTATGAAAAGATATTATTGCTTTATGGCCACTTCAGATACCCAAACCTCATTATGTCTTTGTTCCTGTCTCTCACAGGTGTTACTGAAGAATGTCACGACTGTTTCCCTCCCCTCAGTCATGGACCCGTTGGCCTTTGAGAGTGTCCTGAGTTCTGCCTACACAGGCCAACTGAGCATTGTGCATGATGACATTGTCAACTATGTCACTGTAGCCAGTTTCCTTCAGATGTGGCACATTGTGGACAAATGCACGGAGATCTTGAAGAGACCCCGGCCCTCAGTAGAGGTCACCCCCGGAGAGGCGACTGCAGCCAACCAGGGCACTGCGTCAAGACAGCAGTCCCCGAGCAGCACCGACTGCTTAAATCTGGAAAGGGAGGGAAGACGGAGGGAGAGGAAGCCCGACACCTTGCCTCCCTTAGCTACATGGAGACGCCCGCAACAGTTCCCTAGGTGGGGGCGTCCACGTCCCTCATCAGCCCAGCACTTAGCGGACACTCAGCTCGACGTGCTCCCCAGCTACACGGAGAGTGATTACACCAGCTCTGAGGAGGCATGGATATCAAGCCATGCCAAAACTAGCCACTTTGCACATGATGGATCCGGACACAATAGCCGGCACCACGGGGGGTTCCCTAGTGGTGAGACATTAAAGCAGAAAGTCAGGTTTCAGCAGAGGGGTACGACGCCGAATGCTGATAGACAGCTTGATAAGAACAGAGGGAATGGGGACAATGATGAGACACATGAGAAGAGGAGGAACGAGAAGAGAGAGATCGAGGCGGATGAAGGAGTGGGAGAGGAGGCGGTGGAGAAGAAGGAAGGCTTCGCACAAATGGGACACTGTGGTAAGATACAAAAACCTCATTTTATTTTACACAAAAACACAATGTCTCTGACTAAGTGTCATGATTCTGACCAGCTGTCTGTATCTGACAGTTTAAGATTCTACCACCAGAGACTAAATATCACAATGGCCGCATCCTTCAGAGAATGCGAAGGTCGAACCGAACGAAATGAGACAGTCTGGTCTACGGAGAATTTCCACTGTGTGTCACCAGCTGTGTCTGCCCTTACCATTGCGTCCTGTCACCTAGCATCCTTGACAACACATAACATTTTATGCCTCCGCACTGGCGACAGTTGGAGCCAGATACATATTCGGGTTGTCTGTCTGTCTGTCCCATTCTCGTGGACACAATATCTCAGTAACACTTTGACAGAACCTCTTCAAATTTGACACAAACATTCACCTGGACTCAGGATGAACTGGTTAGATTTTGGTGGTTAAAGGTCATGGTCAATGGGACCTCACAAAAAAACGTGTTAGCCATAACTCAAGACTTTACACAGCAATTATGACAAAGTTTCAAACAAATGGTTCATATTTTCTCTAACTCTGGATAAACAGGGATGTGACCTGGAACTAGTCTGAGTGGAGGAGGCAGACAACCAGGAAGAGGTGATTCAAGTTTTGACTAAAACTTGAGGTTTTGAGTCTCTTGGTTTTAACAGTTATACCGTTAGCAGCTGAACTGAGCTGAAACACAATATTTACATTTAACAGTATAATCCTCAGACTCTCCATCAGTGTTATTTGCTTTCATTACCTGCACGCAGTGAATCTTGGGATAGGTTGGGCCACGAAGGATCCACGTGTTGGAGCCTTTGTTGCCCAGGAAAAGAAGTGAAATCGAACAGTCTAGTCACAGCGCTTCGACGCAGTCAGTCTTCAAATGCAGCCTCTGAAGGATGTGGCTCGTGATTTGGGACCCAGCCAACATCTTTATATTGTGAATGTTCTAATATGGTTCACATATTCTTTGTATTGGTCTTCTCGGTGCAGAGTCTGAGTGTTTATATTGTAGCCAGCTGCATGTAATTTGTTATACATTTCTCCAGCAGACTTCCACCAAGTATCAAATGAGAATGCGGAGGCCGGACAAGCCACAGGGAAGACGAGTGCCGATGTGCTAAAGGAAAAAGTGCAGAGAGATCTGGCAGGAAGTGATCACTCCTCAGATCTGCCCTCCGGCGTTCACGCCTGTCAAACAGGTGAGGGAGCTCTGGGCCCGTCCTGTCCGGTGTCAGCCCGGCAGCAGTGGCAGTCGGGCCCCTGGTCTCAGCAGGAGCAGAGGCCGCAGGAAGGAGAGGGCGGGAGCTGCAGTAAAGACGAGGATGAGGATGAGGAGGAAGAGGATGTGGACTTTGAATGTTTCACAGAGGGGACCTTCAGCAGAGACACGTATGATGAGATTGAAGATGGCACAGGACAGGTTTCCCAGAGGCCGTTGGTCCCTGTGTCTCCAGACTTCACAATGGCGGGCTCCGAGGTGCACTGGCCCTCCACCAGTGTGGGACAGGCTGGCTCATTGACCCCCACCTCCAGTCGCCACTTGTCCCCATCCTCTGCTGCTTTCCCACCCGCCTCTTCACCCCCAACCCCGTCTTCGTCATCCTCAGTCTCGCTCGCCGGCGCCCCCTACACGGGGAAAGTCCACTTTTGCCATTGCGGCAAAGCCTACACCCTGAAGAGTATGCGAGACCGTCACGTGAAGATGCAGCACCTCAACCTGCGGCCGTTCGGCTGTCCTGTTTGCACAAAGTCTTTCAAGATGAAGCACCATCTAACCAAGCACCTTAAAACCCACGGGGGGCTGCGGCCCTACGAGTGCGGCCTGTGTGGGAAGAAAGTCATTTGGAGGGACAGTTTCCTCAGGCATCAGGCACGGTGTGAAAGACTTGCTTCCAGCTCCTCAGCTAACAGCAACAACACTAACACAGCAGCAGCAGGAGATATGGACGACAGCTTCAGTTATGGATTTGACGAAGGGGAAGCTTTTCTAGCAACAGGAGGACAGGTGAAGGTGGAGGAGGTGGATTTTCATGGGGAGATGGAGGATGGGATGAGGGGGCTGTTGGGAAGCGTTTCTGGGATTGTGGATGAACTCAGATCACAGTCACAAAATTTGGACAGTGGCAGTCATGTTTTTAAAGAGGAGGCGAGTGAAAGCTTTAGTGGAAATTAAATATTAAAGTGATAGTTGGGGTCATTTGGTGTGGGGTTGTATGATGTAGACATTTATAGTCAGTCTTACCTGCAGTAGATTGAGTTTAGAGGAGCAGAGCGATGTGCTGCTGTGAGCGGGGCCAGCAGAAAAAACATGTTTTAGACACTTTTAAAAGACGCCCACTAAAAAACAATCCAATATGTGTCTAAATGTACGCTTCATGTAGAATATTTTTAGCTGTTTATCTTCCTGTCAAAACAAAGTGAAGTTGAGCTCTTTCTGATTCACTCAGCTGACCTGTACCTGTGACATAATACAGTGCAATACCAAAGGAAAGCAATGTTTTGACGGGTAGATAAAGCACTGAAAATATTCTACATGAAGCAAACATTTAAACGGATATTGGATTGTTTCAGTGGGCGTCTTCTTAAAGTGTCTAAAACAGGTTTTTTCTGGTGGCCCTGCCCACAGCAACACATGAATCTACTGCAGGTAACACACCGACTATGTATGATTACCTCACACAACCCGATGTCAAATAACCCTAACTATCCCTTTAATGTGAAACAGCTTTATGGCGTTAAACTGTATGTACATAAACACAAGAGGGACAAAGAATCACATGATGAGTTTAAGGGCGTTTTCGCACATAAAGTAAGTTTGCTCTGGTCTGATTCAGTTGTTGAGTTTGTAAACTTGTAGGTTCGTTTTGCTTTCAAACAGAGAAAAATTCAAGTGAACCAAAATGCATCATTACAAACCACGTGAGATCGTTCCCTCCTCTTATTGGTCAGATTGTCTGGCTGGGGCAGGAAAGTAAACACAGGAAGAAGGTTACAGGAACCGTCAAGCTCAGGCATGTCCAAAGTCCGGCCCATGGGCTAATAGCTAACCGATTTTAAATGGCCCACAGCTTGTGTCTCAAAATATACTATGTGGCCTGCCACACAGTATTGGTTAATGAAGCAAGTTCGCTTTGTGTTTTTTCCTGTTCACCTGGAACTAATGTTTTCAGAAACAGACTGTAAACAGGCAACAGACGTTTGCTGCTAGGTAGCTGTCATGGCCACAGCAAAGAAGTGGGAAGTAGACGGCGAGGGACGCCGCTTTGAGGAGCGGTGGAAAGTTGAAAACTTTTTCACTGAAAGTCAAAATTGTTGTGTTTGTCTCATTTGCCAAGAGACCGTCGCTGTTCAATGTGAAGAGACATTACAAGACTAAGCATAATTCCTACCAGCGCTTGAAACATCAAGTGAAACAGCGTAGCCTCCCCTGCAGTGGCTTTTCACACCGCATGGCCCCCAGGTGTCTCCACATCATCAAATATGGCCCCAATTCGAAAAAGAAACACCCCTTGTCGAGCTCAAACTTGTGAGTTCATCCGCTAGTTGGGGCGGATCGAGTTCAGAACTCTTTCACAGCAAAAAGAAACTGCACCAGAGTCCGTTTGGGACCGGACTGAGACCACCTCCTTGGAAGGGTCTCAGCGCGATTGTTTTGGTCTGAGTGCGATTACTGTTTTCACACCTGCCCAAATGAATTGTACCAAGAGGGAAACGAACCAGGGTTCAGTTTAAAAGCGCTGAAAAGTGCAGGTGTGAAAACATTCTGAAAGTCAGTAAAGGTTTGGATCTTTTTATGTGCATTCTTCTCATGTCATTGATATTTAAAAAAAAAAAAAAAAAAAAAAAAGTAGCAATCATATGCTTCATTCAAGTGATCCTTTTTAATTTGTGCAGTGTCATGTCGACTCGTTAAGTGATGCTGTAACCTGTACATCTGTAACCAGCAACGCTGTGAATACTTCTGGAGCCCGAATAAAGTTCATCTGCATTTTGCACATAAATTATTTACCATTGGAAAATAAATACAAAGGTGTAAAAATATTTTCTGTGCAATACTGACGTCTCCTCGCACTATGTCACAGATTAAAATCTTGGTATATATGATAATAAAAACAATTTGGATGTTTGATTGTGGAATATTGTGATTTATTGCATGGCAAATTTCAACAGGAAATGTTATAACTCTATTACACATTGTCCAATCTGTCCCAAACTTGGTCAGTAAACACCTTCATGATGCTTCATTGTGATGTGTGTCAAATGGCGTTGTGAATTTTGATGTTTCGCCATGGAACAGGAGGTTGTTGCAGCTTTAGTTATTATTTATTGTCAATCTAGAACACAGAGGCTAATTTCAGTGGGTCATATTTATATAACACTTATTATAGGAGACTTGAGATGTATTCTACAACATTTGTTCTAAATGACTGGGTCATTCGGGAACAGTTGTGGCTCAGTTCCTTTGCAGCACAGTGGTGGAGCAGCAGAGGTCTCTCTTGCTCAACTCTGCAGCTTCTGTCCACATGATTAAACTGCGTAAAAGGTCTTGACTGTTTGAAGAAAGCTCCTTCAATTAATCATGAAAAGACCCACAGACCCTGAAAGATGGAAGGGCTGATGAATGGGACTATCATTTAATGTATTCTGGCTCCGCCCCTTTGTCCCACTGAGGTCATTGTTTCTTTTAAAAATGATGTTGACAGGATATCATACATTAATATTATTAGATTCTTATTTTAAATTCTCCCTACGATTATATTTATATATATCATTAATGTCCACTATACTTTCCTTTTCACCCTCTCATACTTACAAGACAGATACACACGACTACATCTGATATAAACCTCGAAAATTACACACACATATCATAGACACATACCATACATATATTCTTTTCATTTGTACGTCTCTATAACTGAAAAAACAGATTCCAGCTCTGCAGGTCTGCAATTCTGCAGTTGTGATTTTAATTTTGTTCATTTATTTTTTTTATTCTATTCTCATCCATAGTCTGGTGTAACATGACAGTTTCCCTCATAAAGTCTATCTGTCCTCTCTATCTATTCAGGAGACAACAGCCTATTGGGATTTCCATTTCAAAGGCAAACATGAGGTCTTGACAATGAAAGAGCAACTCACAAACAGGGGACCAGGATCTTACATATGGTGCTGTATATGTAACCAGTCAAAATAGGTCACAGTCCAGGGAATTGCACAACAGTTAGTTGATATCAGTTTTCTTTCTGTCATAGGTCATTGAAATGATGGATTTTGTGTTGGGCATAGTAGCTTGTATTTTATCAGACATCTGTATGGACAGAATCAGTATATATGTAGCTCTTTATGTTACTGCTAAAATGTGTCAAACGCAGGAAAATTGCCTTTCACTTCCCTTTTGTATGTTTTGAATTTTGAACCAATTATCACAGGAACATCACACACAGGAGAAGAGATCAAACAGTTTATTGTGGTTTTAGGACCGGTTGTCCTTGAGAAGTTGTTTCTCAGCCTCGTTTCTAATGATGAGAAATAATGTTTTTCCCATTTCTGAGCAGTGACAGGGGAATCAGTTGAGGATGACTCATCCTGGTTAGGTATTCAATTAAATGAAGGACATAATGTACAGATATCTTGTTTTTTCACTTTTATATGGGGATTATTGTCTGAGATAGATGATTGGCCTCCAGAGGATGTTTTATGGAGCTTGGGTTCAGTCAGGGGCTAATGCAGAACTGCAGTAATTTAGCTGTTCAGTAAACCTTGAAACTGGTGTCCAGTATCGCCATGCTCACAAACATCAGGGTATTATTTTGTAGCTGTAACACCGCCACAACAAGAGTCCCCATTTCTTTATTTCAATATGACACTTCAACCATGATTAGTTTTCCTCCAGATGATCTGCATCTTTGGGTAAATATGCTGCTGCAGCCAGCCAGACTAGCCTAGCTTAGCATAAAGACTAGAAGCAGGAAGTAAGCTAGCCTGGCTCTAGTTCTGTAAACTGTAAAAAAAAAAGACATTTTTACACTTAGGACTTTTGTATGATGTCTTACTGATTTCTTCCTTTCTATGTAATCTTTTTTTCAAATTTTTTTACTTATTATTTCATAATTATTACAACTGATTTACATTAATTTATTCACGTTCTTTTAAAATTTTAGGTTTTTCAACTTTACATCAATGTTTTTAGCATGTTTTATGTTATTTCATTTTATGTCTTTTCATGTGATGCACTTGGTGCGTGTCATTTAATTGTTGTAAAGCGCTACATTTCTTGTATGAAAGGTGATATACAAATAAAGTTCATTATTATTATTATTAATTATTAATAATATTATCATTGTTATTATTATTATTATTATTATGTGTTAATTTGTGACCTTAAGTGATGCTGGTAGGTTTTTTTTTTAAAACATTTGGACAAAACTAGCCTGTTTTCCTTAGTTTCCAGAAAAGGCTGTAAATAAAGATGGACGTAGCCTCTGTGACGTCACCCACAGGTTTCTGAAGCTCAGAGTGAACTGCCCTGCTGCCGGATCTTGGCCATGCCTGACTCCACCCCTAACTCCCAGGTAATCCCAAAATGGCCAGACTGTAAACATGTTTATCTCTGTCTATGGGGATTGACCATAGACTGTAAATAAAGATGGACGTAGTCTCCGTGATGTCACCCACAGGTTTCTGAAGAGCGGTTTTGAAGCTCAGAGTGGGTCGTTCCGTCATTGCCATCTTGCTGACCTGACCCACCTGTCACTCAAAGCGGCACGCCCTCAATTCTACATAACTTTAATCCTTAATAAAATGTAAACTGTTGTCATGAAGGAGGAAATTAGCTCTAGAGACCAAAACCGTTTTTTTTGTACCAGGGTGTAAACATGTTGTATGCTGTAAAGTTGGACATTTTAACATGGGAGTCTATGGGGATTGACTCGCTTTTGGAGCCAGACTCTAGTGGTCATTTGAGGAAGTGCAGTTTTTGGTGCTTCTGTGTTGGCTTCATTTTTCAGTCCCAGAAGTTGCTGCTTTGCTTCCAGTCTTTATGCTATGCTAAGCTAACTGTATCCTGGCTCTAGGTGGACACATAAACTCCCATAGAATGGTGTTGAATGAAGTTGTTGTTTAGTTGTTGTTTAATTAGTGAACTTGAGTTGCTGCTAGGCTAATTTTTTATGTTTAGACAGAGTCAAGCTAGCTGTTTCCTGTTTACTTCTTTTCAGCTACATATTTACCGTACAGTCGTGAAAATTACAGAATTTCTCATCTAATTCTGTAAGAAAGTAAATAAGTCTAATTTGGTATGGACATTTAAAGATTTTTCATACCATAAAGCATGAAAATATAAATGTAGTAAAGACAAGAGAACTGCCAGATTTTAAAACATTTAATGAGTCTTAACTAAGAGATGACAAATGTTGTTTATTTTCCAGTTAGGCTGAACATTCACTTTTACATAGAGAGGAAACAGAACACTCCTGTAGCACCACCTTTACAGTGTTTCTGACTACACAGTTGAAGCGAACTTACAAACAGATCACATACAAATGAGAGCGGCAATGTCATTCATTATGAACAAAATAAACACTTGAAATCAACATCCTGTCCTTCAGTACTGAAACTCCTCAGGCCTTCTGGCTGCTTCCGCCTTCTACCACTGAACCACTTACGATCTGACCATCAATTAAAACAAACCTGTGCCACCTTTTAAACAAAACACAAATAACATTAAAACTTCAAACTTAATTTAAGATGCAAACAGATAATTACAATAAATGAGAAAAGCTACGATATGGGAAAGACAGCAGACCGTTTTCTGTTATGTAACAGTGCATTTAAAAAGGGCATTTGACAGCATCATACTGTACATGTTTATTAATTACACTGATGCGTAAAGAAACAAAAACTGTTACTCAAAACAAGATTAGCGCCCATGCTACTCTTACAGGTTCCCAGTTGTATTTTCAAATGCATTTCTCAGCGACATGCGTTTCACTCAAGCACAAACAGAACCACTCTCCATCTGGATTTTCACGTATGAAACAGAAATGACGGTTTGTTCGGTGTGTGAGCTGCGTTTCTAGGAAGCAACGAGACACATGGAGTCGACAGGAGACAAAGAGAAAAACAAACATCTGCCATGAACAAACCTCAGACAGCAGACAGCAGACACTAGCACCATCAGACCAAGATACTCGAATGGGTGATTCTTACAGGATAATTTACTGAAAGCATGACTGAACCTCTTGTAATGACTAAGACAAGATACCCTTAGAAGTAGGATTAAAAAAGAAGACTGGCACGGTGACAACCTACATCCCTGGAGAGTGGATTTTACATTTTGTCAATGTTGTGTCACTGTCTAAAGAAACACGAGGCTTGTGTTAGTGAGTTAACATCTTCTTGAGGTTGTGAGCCCGCCGCATGCAGATCTGCTTCTCCTCCTTCGTCTCGTCCCGTCGTTGGTGTTGGATCTGTGGACTGGTCTTTGGCGGAGAGCTTAGAAGATGGTGCTCCAGCGTTTGGGGGGTGGACGGGACTTATCTCCCTGGAAAGAAGAAGGAGGACGATTAAGAGGAGGAGAATGAAAAAAACATCATTTTTTTTTCTTCCCCCAGATTTGGCAGCTAAGACCAATCAGGGGTGTGATGTAGTGTTCGGTTAAAACTGATTGTCAAAAGCTTCTTTTATTGGGATTCAAGGAGGTCGACACTGAAAATAAACCCTCAAAAGAGTCAAGGTAGATGATATTTCAATTAATTTGTGGATGAGATATTTAATATTTGTAGTATCACTGTAAAAAATGAAAAATGTTGCACTTCAGCTCGTTAGTTTATTATGATCACAGGCTGCTGTGAAAGCATGTTGGTGGATGAAATGAATAAAAAAATCTACGGTGGCCCTGAAGCTCAAACCACTGGCACTTAATGAAACACATTCAAACAGACAAAACACAAACAAGTTCAGAAAACATCTTCATCAGTTTCATCAGCTCATGTGTCGTCAAACTGATGAGGATGTTTTCTGAAGTTGTTTGCGTCTTGTTTGTTTGCATGTGTTTTCTTCAGTCGCAGTGCGTTGAGCTCTCAGGGCCACCGTATAAATCATTATACTGTATCGAGTTATTACTCACTGATCTCTGGTGAGAGCATCACTGTTGCATTCGGATAAACACAGATAGGAGAAAATTGCTCATGAGCTCCAGTTTTATAATTAAAAGGAGGAAAATCTAGATGCAAACGTGTGGCGAGCTCACCAGGTTGAAGATTCTGGACAGTGTGCTTTGGTCTCTGCGTCTTCTGACCGGCGACTTTGTGCTCTCGGCACGCGGCGACGAGGCCTAGAAGAAGACGGTCTATGAGCAACAGATGTAGACCTGAAACCACGGCCCTGAAACCTGCTTTGTCATTGGTTAACCTTCATGCAGACGTTTAATTCGTTTTACATTGATGGAGGAAAACACATTTTACCTCAGAGCATCAGAGATGTCCCACCACAAAATGCCAAACGAAAAATGACAAAGAGCACAGTTGTTGCTGTTGTTAGACAAAAACACACACATCCACAAATAATACGTCTTTCAAAAAAAGGAAGAAAAGACTTTCTACTTCCTTATGAATGTCCAAACCTTTGCACTTTTTGGACATTTTGCACATATATCTCTTTTTTTTAATCGCATTGGGATTGACCTTTAAGCGTTCACTGGGTTTAATTCTCTTTGTTACAAGCTGAATTTCCCTTGTGGACAATAAAATAGAATTGTTTTTGTAATCATATAACCTTTAGAAATTACACACAGGTTATTAAAGGTTTAAAGGTCACAGGGTTGTTTCAATATAAAGTACTGATCTCACTTTTACTGCTTTTAAAATGAAAGAAAAACCAAAGTGCAGGTATGTGGTTTCTCTGCAACAGCAGCAGTGTGATGTGGCGTCTGTGCTCTGTGATCTGTTATTGTGAGAGAACAACATGGACGAGACACGAAGGAAGGAAAAACATGAACATGTGACAGGGCCAGATTCACATGACGGCAACCTTTAGGGGAAAGACAGTGAATTACGAGGAGAAAAGTCCACACAGACACAGACACAGAGGACATGAGGCTGTCCAGAGTCGCCGGACAGATGAAACTTCACAAAGCACGTGGGAAACCGAAACAGATGGATCGGTGAGTCATCTCTGGCATGTAGGGGATAGACGTGTTACAGAGATGTAGAGGTGTGAAAGAGAAGAGGAGGAGGAGGAGGAAGAGAAGAAGGAGAAGGAGGAGGAGGGTGATGCAGGCCAAAAGGTCCTGAGAGAAAATGTTTACCGGTTGCGGTTGATAAAAAGTTGAGCAGTGTCAAAGTCATCCAGAAGCAGCGAGTCGCTCTGGATTGAAGCAAAGAAGGGGGGAAACTGAGATGTATTAAATTCACCAATAAGTGATTACTTCCTGGTTTCAAAGATGAGTGAATAAATTAAATCTTTTCGACTGATCAGTCACCAGTCGAGAGTGAGCTGCTGTGAGCTTTTGCCTTTCAGCTACTGGATGTAAATGCTGGTGAATCAGTTGCTTTGAATACGTCTTGATTCCACATGCTCAGGTAGAAAAGATTTTTCTTTTCAAGGGGGAAAGCGGGGACACACAATGCCAGAGAGAGACAGGACGAGTGTGAAGGTTAGGTAACAGGTGCACTGCAGACAAAGGACACACTGCAAAGGAGCTACAGATTTCAACACACACACACACACACACACACACACACACACACAGACACACACACACTCAGTGGTGCAGTCAGCAGTGGGGCTTTTGTTCCATTTGAGAGGGAAAGACTGAATGACGTACCAAACCCAAGACATCTCTCCACTGGACATGAAAAAGAAACAGACAGTAGCAGGATGAGATGTAATACAGTGAGAACAAGATGCCACCTGCATCCGCCTCAACACACCTGACAATGATCTAGTTACAGGCATTAAATAGAAAAATAAGAAGGTTGGACCATAAAGGACCATAAAGGTTGTAAACCATTGGTTTACAACCTTTATGGTCATTTGAATATTTTTTGGTGGCAAGATAAAGTAAAAATGAATTATCCTGCACCCCAAACCCCCAGTTTTTGAATGATACATATAAAACTAAACTAAAATGTATGCCAGGCTTTTCATGGGAATTCATTTTGCTACCAATAATATAATAATTACATACAAACTACAATAGGTAACGGCAGCCATACTTAGAATGTGAAACATGTAAGTAACATTAAAAAACATTACACTATTGTCATGGTTACCCTTGGACAATTTGTTTGGACATTCGTTTTATTTCCTGTTTTATTTTGAAATTACTTCCCTTGTGTGTCTAATGTTAGGTTATTTCCTATCTTTGTCCTGTTTCCCTCCTTTGTGATTGTCTGCCCTGTCCTCATGTGATTCACCTGTGTTCAATTACATTCTTTCCAATTTTTGGGGGGATTTTCTGGGTTTTGGATTCTTGCTTTGTAAGGGTCCAACTATCCTTCAAACGGGACAGCTATAGAAATTTAAAAATCTTAAAATACCTTTATATCTAACTTAAAGTCAGTTGGACTGTGGCGATCACTGGGATGTTTCTGTGGTTTCATTAAGTCAAAATTTCAATTTGTTCAAGTTTGGTTTATGGGTTAAAATAGCTATTTTGGCAAAGTTGGAGGACAAGACAATCCCAGTGAATATTAGTTTGTCAGGTACTTTAGTGTCTCCCTGGGGGGGGGTCAAATCCAGTGGGGTGGGGTTCCTTTGTCTTTTTGATACCACCATTGGATGGCACCAAAACCCTAAAATTTTCAAATCTCACACATGGAGACTTAACGGTATCCAGTGCCTGGAAACATTAAAAACAGAACGCCATGAAGAAATTCAGCTGTTGAAACTTTGAGAAATATGATGAAGAACATTAGTATGGACCAGGTAGACATGTATAAAAAGTGACCAGACGTCGGCTTTTTAATTTTCATCTCTGCACTGTCACCTCTGAAATGACCAACCACACAGATATTGTGAAAAATGAGACTCACCCTGGATTTAGGAGGAGGAGAGGAAACCTGAGAAACACCAAGCAACAACAGCAACAGAGTGACTGATTGCACAGGACAGGGAAATGGAGCAACAAACTCTGCTCTGAAATAAACAAGTGATTGAGCTGCTGATTGAAACTCCTCTTTTATCGGGATGCAAATGAAGGAATCATGCAGCTTTGTAATCAGAGAGGAAAGTAGCTCAGCATGCTGTTTGCGAGATGCTGCTGCAATATTGATGCCAAAAGTTAGACTGCTGTCAATAAAGTGAATCAAAAGAGAACACTGACAGTTCAACACTCATAATATAAATTAGAGGAAATTGGTCAGTTCTGTTCTGACTTATGCAGCTGATGATGGTTTCAGAGTAATGCATCAAACTCTGTTGACCTCCAAACCTTCTAAAATGTGAATAAGCATATGCAAATGTAATATATGTACATATATTGAATTTCCAATGATGAAATAAAACATATATGTATATCAGTAAAAATGACATATGGAACCTGTTATATATGCATATATATATATTACGTATTGACATATAGGCTATTTCTAGCTCATACAAATATGTAGGCCTATGTTTATGTATGTATGCTTATATTGTTGACATACTGTATGTTACTGTTGAAGATGAAGAACATGCTGTTTTAAGAAATGTATGTATATACGTTAAATATATATTATTAAAATAGCCTATACCGAACCGCAACCTGTTATACCAAATAAAAATTAATTATATATATATTTTTAATAATTGTACATATACAATATATGATAATAATATATCCCTTTAAAAGTGACATATACTGTATGTCATATATTACATTTCCATATGGGAAACCAAAAGGTGTTAGCATGATGCTACAAAAATGATTCTATTCTTAAAGGTATGTGATCAATGATATGATGTAAACAATATGTATTATGCAAAAAAACTTACAATGCTCCTGAAGAAATGCACCACAGCGTTTTCATTGGTCCGGCGGCGAGAAGAGGACTGCTGGGGTGAGGAGGCCAGGTGACCCCGGAACGACCCCTGTGAGGAAGAGTATAGCACAAAGTCAAGGAATGCTACTGTGAAAGAAAACTATGATAAAAAAACAAACAAAAAAAACAACTATATTTAATTTTCATTTATATTTAATTAAAAAAAATTGAAAATAAAGGAGTCAATTTTTAAACCTTCTAGCCTGAAAATCTTTTAATGCAGTATATTCATGATATGAATAGACACCAGCTCTCTCCTGAAAGTTAGTCCCAGCTGCACCCTGCCTCCTAATATAGTAATTACAATAATTATATCAGCTACAAAGCTCGACTGGATGTCAGGTCTCATAGGGTGAGAGAGGAGCCAAATGAAGTACAAACAAGTACGAGAAAGGACCGAATGATGGAAAATCTGCACGTTGAATCGGTTAAAGGCAATTACAGACTGAAAGGAAACAGCATGAAAGATCTACGGCGAGAGAGTGAAGCACGATATTGTGCTACAGTGTGACTGTGTGAGACCACATTTAAGAGGTTTATCAGGTGTGGTCGCCTGACACACTGTCACTCAGTGGTAAAGCAGGTCAGCCGAAGGTCTCCTCTCTTGGTGGGTGTAGTGAAAGTGAAGCTTACACAGCGATAGCCTTCAGAACAACCGCAAACATCTGAGCCTCTCTGTCTGCTCTGCTGACACTGGTTAGGACGCAACAACCCCTCCAAAACAAAGAGGAGTTTTTAATGCTGTCAGCAGAACGGATTATTAACATATGATCTGTATTTACATTAAGACCTGTATTTACCTGTTCTGTATCTGTATTGACATTTAAATAAAAACTATACATGGTAACAAATCTACAGAAGAGGATTAGGGCCACATTTCTAGAATTCTGACTTTAAACTAAGAATTCTGAGAAAAAAATGTCGAATTTCTTTTTAAATCTTTTTCTTTTTAGAATTCTGACTCAAACTCAAACCTTTTTTCTCACATGTGGCCCTAATCCTCTTCCATACAAATCAAGGATGAAAAGAAAGTACACAGCAGGAAATTACCTTTTAATGAAAAAAAAAGAGAAAAAAAACCCCCAATATTTTTGCATTTTTGCATCCATCATCACCATGGTTATATTCGTTAGGTCTACCAGTGTTGTGGTTCCCCCCTCCCCCCTTGATTTCACATTTTAAACCACATTAAATGCTGCTAATACAGTGATGCATCCGTATTAACAATCTAATAACATAAGGATGGTGACTTTAGGTAGCTGTAGCAGGTTTTCATTCGGGCACATCAGAATGGTCTAATATGACTTCAGTCCAAACGTAGTGTGAACGAGGTCACTCACATATCGGTAGGGACAATTCTGTCATATGCAAACCTTGAGTCTCCAGCACTGTTCATCCAGCTGTCTGACAGACATACTCTCTGTTTAGATTGAAGTCAATTTACTTTAATTTGTCTCAGTGTTTCATCAACTCAAATGAGCAAAATAAAACTAAAAAGATGCATTTTTCTTTTTCAGATGTTCAGGACAGAGAGGCTGCGAAGTACGAGGGAAAACATCTAATGCATCAAAATGTGTGAACACACAAATCTGAGATCTGAGATGTACTTGTGCTGCACCTACTCAGAGAAACAGGCTTGGTTGTCAGATGAAAGAAGTCTGACAGAGCAGCTCTGACTCCTGAGGGCCGCTCGCATCCCAGAGCGGTTATTCTTGAATCTTTAAAGCAGTTTTGTGTGAGATTCTCCAGAACTGATGCTGAGAAAATCCACATCTCAGAGGAGGTATTAACGCTGGCAGCAACACAACAGATTTTAAAAAGTTATAGTAAGAAAATTCTAAATTTAAGATATTATTTGAGGATGAAATAAAATAATAAATCCATTATTCCAATATCCAATCCAATCCATATCCAATATTTTAAATTTATATCCGGAAAATTCACTCTGAGCATTCATTTTTATTTTACAGCCACTTGCTGTTTCTCAATTATGCAGCATCTTCCTGCTAAAAAAATCTACTCAGCAGGAAACTTTGCCTGTTTGTTAAAAAGCAGCAATGAGAAGATCTCCAGATCCAAACTGAATTAAAGAGTGTCTGATTGGGGGAAGTGAGCCATCACTGTAGTTTAGAAAAAAGGCCTTTTAGTAGCAAACCCTCAATTTAAAAATGCAAATTTCTAATTTCTTCCCTCAAAAACATCAAACATAGAACTGCCATAGCAAGGAGTTTTAAATAAGGTTGATTTTACTGAAGAGATGAATCAGATCAAAAATTTGTCCAGAAAACCAAATAATCCTTAATGAACTTAATATTAACTCAGATGGTCTTTTACATATATGGTGGAACTGAAATAATAATCTTGATTCTTGGGTTTAGCTCCAAGATCAAACCCAACAGTGAAAACCAATCCAATATAGAACAGAATCATAATATATTGACAAAAAAATGATCAAACTTTAGGGTTTTTTAGTTTTAAGCTAGAGTTTAAAGGGATGCTGGGAAAAAAAAACTTTTAAATGCAGATGTGTAGATTCTCACCTTGCTCCTTTTCTTTTTGTCTCCTCCAAAGAATTTGCTAATCTGATCCATGAGTCCGGGGTTCTTCTTTTTCCTGCCGAGCCCGAAGGTGCTCTGCCCTGAGCTGCTCGCTGTAGCCATGCTATCTGCTGCTGAGGTTGGGTGGGGTTGACCTCTGTCTGTCACTCAGTAAAGTCCAACACACGACTCTGCTGCTGCTTCGGGGTGGTATGCACTCCCTCTGACGCTCAGGGGCCGTCTTTGAAGGTGTCGTCCCCTCAGGCCTGGTGCACCATGGGACATGGGGGGGGGGTCAGGTTGGGAGAGGGGGGGTGGTGGTGGTGGTGGTGGTGGTGGTGGTGGTGTGTGTGTGTGATCCATGGCTCTGGCTCGGCACCAGGCATTCTTTGGAGCTTCAGTGGCTGTGTCAGTCACTGCCGCCCTCCGCATGGGCCGGGGCCATTGTTCCTCTCCCCGTTCGCCTCACCCCGGCCGAGGGGACAACAAGGGTTATCTCTGAGTCTGAACTCACAGCCTGATGCAAAGCAGCTGCCGCACTGTGAGGCCATTGTTGAACCGGCCTCATATGTCTTCTTAATGGATTGTGTTTAAATTGGATGTACAGTCGCCCAGATTAACACACACAGAGAGAGAGGCCCCAGAAGAAAGAGAAGGACTGTGAAACATGCAAAAACCTGTGAACATTAGCTGCGTGTCTGTGTCTGCACTGTCATAAAATAAAGTTGTCTTGATTTGATATGTTTGGATTTTCTCTTTTCTTTGTGTTTTCATATTGAAACCAATGGAATTGAAACAGCTGTAGCATTTTGATGCTTTGGTGTATCCAGGTCTGAATGAGGAAATAGATTTCAGGCCTTTCCTGTAAACTGGCTCACCCCGTCTCTTTATAGTTTTAAAATGGTTGGTATCATTTTATTGCTAACTTTTTATTGCACATAATCATGATAATTATTATCTTCTTGTCTATATAGCCTACTTGTAATGCTAGTGAGATCTGTCTATATTAGGAATCACAACGCTCCACTCTGGTTTACTTCTCTTTCCAACCACGCCCTGAAGAACACCCTGAGGTGGTCGAAACCAGACGGTGTTTTATTCCCTTTTTTTTGAGGTTTTTGTTTGGACATTTTACTCTGATATGCCCAAACATAATAAAGGCGTTTTGATTATACCCTTGGCTCTGTGCGAGTGTTCCTGAAGTAAACCCAGCAGCATCCTTGTGTCTAAGCTCCAGCTTTTACTCTGAGTCTATGACTAATGGAGCTTCAAAGGTTTGTTGTGTTTTGGACTTGAAAATTTTAACCATAACTCAATAGGTGCAGAGACTGAAGCAGGGCTCTATAATGGAACGAATGACTGCGAGTCTACAACTGAAAATGAATGCTTTCATACAAAGGTGGTTACACAACACCTAGATGTTTAACTGAGTGAGATGGATTGTTAGAACGGATTATCAATGAAAATATCATTGTTATATTCCTCTTTTACGACACTGTTATGATACAAAGCCTCAGTCTAAGAAAGATATGTCTATTTTTTTAAAATTATTGTTATTTAATTTGTGTTATTTGTTTATTTATTATTCTTTTATTTTTATTATTATTTACTTATTTTTTAAGGGTATGAGGTCCTGTGTCACGCAATGTTTTGTTCTGTGGAATAACAGAAAAAATTACATAAAGTGTTCCAAAAAAAAAAAAGAAGAAAGTTTTAACCAAACCTTATGTTTTACTCCAATGCTAATGTTAATGTTAAATCACCCATTAAAGGCCGACATGATGCACTAATTAAAAAACCATTTGAATGTGCAAAAAGACTGAAGACTGTTGTGTGAACTGTGGAACAAAAGAATGACCTGCCGTGCTCAAAGGAAAAAAGTCTTAAAGTTACTCGGAGAAATATAAAGATTTAACATCTGCAGCTCCTTGACAACCGAGCAAACATCACGTGTTGATAAAGACTGTGTGACACGGTCAAAAGCTCCAGAATGAGTGATTAGAAAGACCTTGAGTGAGGATTGTACTGTAACCCAAAGCTCAGCATTTGTTTTATTTTATTTCTGTTCAGTTTCTGTCGTCATCGTCTCAGATGTTTCATTTTATCTATAAATGTTTGTCCGTGTGAATTTTTATTTCTCCTGTCGTTGCTCCACGTAACAACACAACAATCGGTCGTGGATGTGTTGTGTTATTCAGAGTGGCTGCAGTGGCCGGTGAACAAAGCAGGATCTGTTGCAGGATAAGTTGTGTTAGAAAACACCCATGCAGCTTCAGAATATTAATATTTTGGGACAGACGTCTTTTTGTTTTGGCTGCTTCTTATTTCAAGGCAGAAAATAACTTTCATAGAGGAAAGAAAACTTACTTATGTTACACTCTCCCCTGGGAGTGTGGTGACTGATGAATCAGTTTTTATACAGGACAAATGAAAGCAGGGAGAGATCAGTCTTCTGAGGTGGAGGTACAGCTGTCTTTATCCCACTGTCTTTATGTTGCAGCACAACAGATTAATATACAGAAAATAACACCAAAAGAGTTTGACAAACTGAAATAAGCCTTCAGCTTTGTCTCTCCTCGACTTCTGGATCTTACCTCACAACACACCTCTTCAATCTTGTTGAAACTCTAGTGTTTAATCATATATATTTTATGCAATTATATTAATTGTAATTTATTTTATATTTTATGCCTTGTACTGGGATTTTATTTTTATGTCTCTGCACCAGCGACAGTTAGACCGGACGCCATGAGGGAACTTCTACAATTCTGGTAAAAAAACATTCACTTGGACTGAAGGATGAACTGAAATTTCATCACAAATGGTTCATATTTTCTCTGACTCTGGATAAACAGGGATGTAACCCTATGTATGTAAGCCTACACATACATATACCACCTATACATAAAATGTATTATTATTATTCATTATTATAAATTGATGAACTGAAATAAGTTTAGACTGTATTCGAGTGGCAGCAAAGCAAACTAAACACAGCAACAGTAACAATCAGGAAATATGTGAATACCCAAAATACTAATGTCAATGAATATCTGTGACATACTTTATATATAAATCAGGGTATGAGAAGAATGTGAGCTTTTCAGCTGACCAACATATTGTCTCACTAAAACCTTCCCCAGGAACCAGGAACCTTTAGAGGAACTATGTGTGTTTCGACTGCAGAAACTACGCTCTAAATTTAGTTATGGGGGGGGGGGGGGGGTGGGGGGGGTTGGGCTGCAGTGCTGAACATTTCTGACTGGTCGAGTACTCGCTGCATTTTATTTCACCCACAATGTTTAAAAGCCCGCAGTGAACGAGCACCGAGCGAGCAAACACACTTTCCACACCATGAAACAGGTCTGGGAGAAGGTAAAAAAAACTAAACAGGACTTCAAAAAAATAAAGGACCACAACAGCCAGGGTGGCGAGGGTTGCCACCTGTCACGTATAATACGGGATTGACCTGTATTTGAAAATAAAATGCTGCGTCCTGTATTGAATATATACAGGATGCAATTTGTCCCGTATTTTCGTTCATGTTATGTCCTCAAAGTGCTGTGAATAATGTAATATCAAGTAATAATTATGCATAATCTTCCTGGGACTTTAGGTCACGGTGGAAATGCAGACAACAGTGGGCCACAGGAACCTTTTAGGTCCTGAAGAAAAGTACCTGGAACTTAAAGTTCAAGAATAACCAGCAGTTAGAACTTATAAAACAGAGACAAATACAGAGTTTTAGTTCTTAGCAGCCACATGCGACTCAAATAAAGTTCATTCAGGTTAAATTTGGTTCTATGACTCATGGAAAATATAATGGAAAAATAAAAATGCTGGTAAAAGAGGACAAACAGAAAGTAGAAAAGATCTTTACTTGAACTCTGAATTCTGAATATGTGGATTAACATTTACTTTCATATCATAGAAGTCATTGGAGCCAACATGGCCACCCAGCTTCCTGTATGAACAGAGTAAAATGGGGATAGACTCAGAGGCAGACATGTTTGTCCACTCTGAACTCGTACACAGAGCTCTGTCTGTTTGTCCTGCAGGGCCGGGCCTCGGCACAGCACCCACAGACCTCACAGAGGTAGGGTGCAAGAATGCAGAGAGTGGGATGACCACACTGCTTGTGCCCTCGTGTCCAGAAGAGTCTTGGATTTGTTCCTGAGGCGGGAAGGTCGAGGACGAGCACAGGGGAAACAATAGCGGCCATGGACGAGAGCTGTGGGACACAAACACGGGAGATATCCTTGAACCACGGCAGGAATGTCGATCTAGACCAAGACACCCACTCGAAGAGGCAGCTGAATATCTATCTGCTGCTGGAGAGAGAGAGAGAAAGACTGAAAGAAAGAGTTCTTCTGTTCAGTTACATGTGCAGAAAATCACCACATGAGACAGTTTTACTTTCTAATATGTTAAAACAGTTTTTATGACTTCTGCAACCTCTGTGAGTGAATAAAGATGCAACAATCAGCCTGGGAAGTTTGTTTTGATTTGTTTGTTTGATACTGTCACAGTTTCATCAACAGAGAAAGTCATCTGAGTTAAAAGGAGTCAAAGATTAACAGATTTAGTTTGCCTTCATATAAACTATTACTTCTCAAGACCAACGTAAACAAAATGATCATTGAAACCTGAAACCTCACACTGAATGGTGCCTGTAACACATAACTAAATCCAAGTTATTATAATGTATCATGATTTTATGTTTGTAAAATTTTATAAAATGGTTCATTCTTATCCACTAGCACTAGAAAAGTTTAGCTGGCTCACTCATTGGTTAGGAGTTCATAACCGAAAAACAGATTCTCAAATACAAGCTTGAAAAAGATCGTATTAAACTTGAACAAAAAGAATTGCTACAATTAAGGGCATGCAGGGTATGGCTATATTTACATGTTTGGAAAAGACCAGACTAAGCATAAGAATATAATATAATTAATTAAAATTATTCTGAGTCACACTTCAAAAAACAACATTTTAGGATAACAAATCTGATTGAGAGGATGTGATGGTTTTTATTTAATCATTTATTTTTTGGGTTGGATATGAATAGGCTACTAGACATTCTAATACACACTCCATTCCAGTTGGTGCTGGTAATGCGCCGCTTTGTTGTTTGCCAACCACCAATAAACTTCAAAGAAGAAAAAACAACATCAGAAGAAGAAGTTGGCCGACTGTCTGCTATGGACTTCACATGACAATATTCACAAC